TCAAAAAGGCTAAATAAGGAACCATTAGAAAGCAACATAAGAAAAAATTGAGAAAGATGTTTTTTTACTTCTTCACTAGAAATAGTGATAACAAACTTCTATAATCAAAATCCAAGATGGCTGACTAATTTTTGATTTCTTATCAATCACAAAAGGTCAAAATCCAAGATGGCTGTCTAATTAATTTTTGATTTCTTATCAATCACAAAAAGTCAAAATCCAAGATGGCTGTCTAATTAATTTTTGATTTCTTATCAATCACAAAAAGTCAAAATCCAAGATGGCTGTCTAATTAATTTTTGATTTCTTATCAATCACAAAAGGTCAAAAGGTCAAAATCCAAGATGGCTACTTGACTGGAATTCTCTTTTTGTGATTTGTCCCAAAATCAGAGCGATTAGGATCAGATGGTGGTCAAACAACATATTTAAACATTTACATCATTGTATTCCAATGTAAGCTGAAAATATTAATTTTTTTATAATTCAGTGAATTTAAATCTCCTTTCTAGATTGTTTTTATTCAGCTTTATACAACATTGTTTTACACTGCACAGCAATACTGATTTATTTTAATATTGAAAGTTACTTTTCATTATAAACAGCTGACTTTATTTGTTCTATGAACTGTTGACTTTGTTCAAACACATAACTAGGCATGTTAGAGGAGTCATAACTGGTTGATTGGCCGAGGTTCTGTTATACTTATTGTACCAGCTTCTATTAAGGAGTGTGTGATAATTAATCGTTTCTGATTGCTCAAAAATTCATATCCCACACAAACAAGACTGTTATCAAGCAAGCTAAACATGAATATTGATGTTCAAAAATAACAATGCTACTCCTGATAATATTTCTGGTTAAATATATCAATGTAAAGTAAAGATTTCATAAGTTTAGCTTAAGCAAGTTACATAGCATAACTGGTAAATGACTTTTTCATACAGGAGACAGAAATATACCACATGCTACCCAGTGTCAGACAAAAAGTAATTCATCGCTGAAGATTAAGGGTAAATTGTAAATTCTTCTTAAGCCATGTTCATCAGAGTTTTTACATATCTTTATAGATAGAGATATATATAAGTACTCAGTATATGTAGTCACATAGATGGAAGTCATTATGATATAATAAATGAGTGCCTAGCTGTTCTGGCATTACCTAATACTATGACAGAACACTTTGTAACACAGACCCATCAACCTCTTGCTTTAGAAGATTCACAGCTTAGATATAAGGAGATTGTAGGATGATCAATATGTACATAAATCAAGCGATGACTTGACAAGGGTGTAGTGTAAAGTCAAAAGAAGCTGTATAAACTACATATCTGAAGGCTGATAAATCTACATACATATTACAAGTTGTAATGCTGCCTTGTAAAACTGGCATCTTTGCCCACACAGAAAACATTTCTAAATATTTTTTCATTAATGTTAATAAAATGAATGCAATAACAAGCATTTAAATGCCAGAAGTAAGAAAAAGTAGAATTAAGTACATTTAGCAATATGGAGTGGTCAGTTTTTTGAAACTTTAATGGAATAAGACAAGAGAAGGGACATAACTCCCATTGACCATAAACATGAGAAGATTTGGTTGATAACAAAATGAGAAAACACTCAAAAGGAAAAAAGAACCTGCTCCCCAATCCACAATTGTTAAGGAGGAGTTGTTGTTCAAACAAGATTCCTCTCAGAGGCCTTCACTGGTCACCATGGCAATCAAATGGCAACCACTTTAAAAAAATTTTTTTTTTTAATGATATTGTACTTGTCGTCCACCTAAAACTTTATACACCAGTTTTCAACTAAATCAGATAATATCTTAATTTTGACTGATTTAAAGCCTCAAATGTGTTTCCATGATAAGGGTTTTGAAACACCTAATATGTCAAATTGTTGTGTGGACAATCTTTTTCCATAAAAACATGTGTAAAGTGACCTTCACCATAAAATCTCTGCATGCACATCTACATATGGTGGTCAATATTTCTATGTAGTCTCAAAGAAAATTACCCCACAAGTTCTGGAGAAATGGTCTGAGCAAACCTTTTACTATGGACAGACTGACTGACAGACAGACAGACAGACAAGCAGATTCCTGTATACACCCCACCTTACTTGGTTAAGAGGGGGTATAATACACAGAAAATCTAGCAGATGACAAAACAAGAGTCTGCTTACACACATCTACTCATATAGCAACAAAGCAGGGCAGTATGATGTAGCAGGCTAACAACTAAGACATATTACAAGAAAGGACTATGTAGGACTAGAAATGTACTTACTCTCTTGAACTTTCGAAAGGGTACAAACTGGACAATGTCCCTCCTGGCTTCCTGACCATTAGGAGCTCGTAGCATGCCATTGTCCCCGTCTAGCAGTTCCATATTATCGAAGTCAGCTTGTCCAACCCCAACAATGATAACAGACATAGGCAGAGCTGTGGCATCTACAATGGCTTGTATGGTTTGGGGCATATCTGATAAGGCTCCATCCGTAAGCAACAGAAGGACATAGTATTGCTGGAATCAAATATTATATGTCATTACAGCAGATGGTTAAAACTTTTTAAGTAAGGGCAGCATATTCCTATCTATGCATCCTACTTCAGTTTTATAAATAAGGACTTACCGATGCTCCCTTTGTGGACTCTTCTGCCTGAGACTGGGCTGCAAATCGGGCTACATGTCTGATGATAGGGGCCACATTGGTGGGGCCGTATAGTTCCACCGCCTGTATACAGTGCTGGTAGGCCTGTATTACCCCTTCAATACCTGTGGACATCAGAAATACACACCTGTATAGTTTTCTGATCATTTAGACACAACTAGAATTTACACAATGTCCCAAGGCAAAGCAGTAATACACTTTGTGGTCAACATGGATTCCTGACGACCTTTGTTTTTCTGACCAATCTCAAAAGTTTGAAGAAAAAAAATTATTATTAAAAATATATGTTTTTATTATCTTATGGGGAATATAACACCAAGCATGAATGGTTTTATGCAAAAGCAAAAAATGTTCTCTGAGGGAATGTTACCTGTATATTTACAGAGCTACAGGTGTACACATTGAAACTTCTGCTTATTTTCTTGTAAATGGCAAAATAGTTTTACATCATACATGTAATTTAAATGCTTCTAATGTCACTTCTAGGATATCATCTTCCTTATGCATTAACCTACCATTACAGTAAGGATTGGAAGGGTCAAAGTTCAGGGCAAATTCAAATGAGACTTCTCCTGTGGGGAGTTTAGCACCAAACCCAAGGGCTGGGAACAATTTGTCACTGAAAAGGAAGTAAACGATTAAAGTTAGGACCTACTTTGTATAATAGAGAACTTGACAGTGTTAATTTGAGGTTCATTATTGAAATATTCTCCTCAGCAGAAAAATTTTTAGTTATTGAAGCTACTATTCTGAATGGTAAACATCGAGACAGTTGATAAAGGTGTCCTGTAAGAATCAGTAAAAACTAAACATACACTGCAATTATTGAAACATGAAAAAATGAAATATCTGTAGAGAAGATTAACCTTTATAACTAACAAACATGTATATACCTGGTGACATATCTGCATTCATAAGACCATTTTTTCATGTATATATTAGCTAATGTGTGTAAAGATTAAAAACTTTAAAAGTGTCTTCTGCATCAAGAGTTGCAAGCATGTTAAAGCATGTCAAACACTTGTACAAACCTATCAAATGTACCAGTTATTCTTGTTCTCTCTCCATTTCACTGATGTGATTATCTCCCTTACTTTTAGCTATAAAGAATTTTGAGCATTATAACTTTTTCTAATATTGCTTGTAGGGAATACAGCTCACCTGTCATAGTCCTGACAAATGTTACCAACAGCTCTGGTGGCTTGTACATACTCATTCGGTCTGCTTGGGTCTATAAAATGTAATGAAGAATTCAATCGCGGGTTCCCATTGGATGCTGTGAAGTCTATTCCCACCTGTTGGAGATAATGTTGATAATCAAGTAGAGGCTTCGACAGAAGAATTCTATTTAAATGTCTTTCATGATGTTTGCAGCTAGAAAGTGGAGAAGGTAACAAAAATGTAATTAAAAAAAAAAATAAAAATGTATTTCCCATATCTTCCATTTTGAATGCATGATTTACTGAAAATATGTCTTTTCTTACCGATTAGAAACAAATTTAAGTTGTGAGGAGATCATACAAAAACCATCCAAAAATTCCTTTGTGCTTCTATGGTGCCTACTTACTGTGAAATTGATCTGCATCCCTCCATAGATATAATCCAGGAATGTCATGGGCCTTTTCAACTGTACAACAAGCAAAATCACAATAAGATCGTTTTAGATAATTGGGAATGTTATGGAAAAAGAAAACACAGAAAATATAACATTGCAGGTCAATAGGTCATGTGTTACATGAGAAACTGTAAGTGGTTACAATGCCTAGCAGGTCAATAGGTCATGTGTTACATGAGAAACTGTAAGTGGTTACAATGCCTAGCAGGTCAATAGGTCATGTGTTACATGAGAAACTGTAAGTGGTTACACTGAAAGTAGTGTGTAAAACAATTACTGGTCAAAAGGTTTGACTTTTAAAACTCAATCCCTGACTGGACAACAACATACAGAACCTAGTCCCATTTAATGGTCACTATTTTGGACTGTTAAATGTCAATCTCTATTCACACAAACAGTTAGATATCTAGTGCTGTAAAACATATTTCTTTCACAATTTTGTTATGTTGGAGAACTTTTAATTTCTTGATAAATGAGGTGAGATCCATATCAGTGAATAGGAAAATCAAAGTTCTGAAAGTTCTAAAATGTTCAACAGTCTGTACCAGACTGATCAGATCCTTACAGCCTTTATTGTTGGTACATGTACCTTTCACCTCTGGGAAAGAACTGTAACACATACATAACACATCAAAATAAGTATTCAGGAAAAATTGATAAACTACTCATTGTCTTAGCCATGTATATTTTTAATTAGTTCATTAATGATCATGTACAATTCACATAACACAAGCTTTCCCTTACAGCAGGACCTGTACAAGTTTACCTCGAAGTTGGTGAGGTACACTACGCCAGAGTTCTCATACTTCTTCTTGCCCTGTTTCTTTGGATTTATACAAGGAAATGGTATCTGAAAGTATACAAGTATAAGTTAGATTAGAGATGATATCAGAAATGTTAAGTCTTTTCAATCCTGTTTACTGTAAACAAAACATATGGTGGTTTTCCAGCCTTGTTTACTGTAAACAAAACATATGGTGGTTTTCCAGCCTTGTTTATTGTAAACAAAACATATGGTGGTTTTCCAGCCTCGTTTACTGTAAACAGAACATATGGTGGTTTTCCAACCTCGTTTACTGTAAACAAAACATATGGTGGTTTTCCAGCCTCGTTTACTGTAAACAAAACAAATGGTGGTTTTCCAGCCTCGTTTACTGTAAACAAAACAAATGGTGGTTTTCCAGCCATGTTTACTGTAAACAAAACATATGGTGGTTTTCCAGCCTTGTTTACTGTAAACAAAACATATGGTGGTTTTCAAACCTTGTTTATTGTAAACAAAACATATGGTGGTTTTCCAGCCTTGTTTACTGTAAACAAAACATATGGTGGTTTTCCAGCCTCATTTACTGTAAACAGAACATATGGTGGTTTTCCAGCCTCGTTTACTCTAAACAGAACATATGGTAGTTTTCCAGCCTCGTTTACTGTAAACAAAACATATGGTGGTTTTCCAGCCTCTTTTACTGTAAACAGAACATATGGTGGTTTTCAAACCTTGTTTACTGAAAACAAAACATATGGTGATTTTCCAACCTCGTCTACTGTAAACAGAACATATGGTGGTTTTCAAACCTTGTTTATTGTAAACAAAACATATAGTGATTTTCCAGCCTCATTTACTGTAAACAGAACATATGGTGGTTTTCAAACCTTGTTTATTGTAAACAAACATATGGTGATTTTCCAACCTCGTTTACTGTAAACAAAACATATGGTGATTTTCCAACCTCGTTTACTGTTAACAGAACATATGGTGGTTTTCCAGCCTCGTTTACTGTAAACAAAACATATGGTGGTTTTCCAGCCTCGTTTACTGTAAACAGAACATATGGTGGTTTTCCAGCCTCGTTTACTGTAAACAGAACATATGGTAGTTTTCCAGCCTCGTTTACTGTAAACAAAACATATGGTGGTTTTCCAGCCTCTTTTACTGTAAACAGAACATATGGTGGTTTTCAAACCTTGTTTACTGAAAACAAAACATATGGTGATTTTCCAGCCTCGTTTACTGTAAACAGAACATATGGTGGTTTTCAAACCTTGTTTATTGTAAACAAAACATATAGTGATTTTCCAGCCTCGTTTACTGTAAACAGAACATATGGTGGTTTTCAAACCTTGTTTATTGTAAACAAACATATGGTGATTTTCCAACCTCGTTTACTGTTAACAGAACATATGGTGGTTTTCCAGCCTCGTTTACTTTAAACAAAACATATGGTGGTTTTCCAGCCTCGTTTACTGTAAACAGAACATATGGTGGTTTTCCAGCCTTGTTTATTGTAAATAGAACATATGATGGGCACATGTATGTAACCTCTGTCTTATCATGATTTTTAGGAGTTTGTATCATTATGTAGATATCATGCTACCCATTTACAATCAATTGGTTAAATGTTCATGCAATGTTTCAAAACATAAGTATAATAGATCTAGATTTATTGATAAATACATATCATGATTACTTGGCTCTCACTGATCAACAAGTGAACCCCGAAGTCATGATTGACCTTCATAGAGGACACATGTAAACCATGGAAAATCTAAGCTTCAGAAAAATGGTAATCACAAAGTAGTATGAGGAAAGGTGATACTATGAAGATGTTCTCCATTTAAAGACTTTTTCTGTTTTTCGGAAATGAGTCTGAGTTTATTTTACTCTCAAAAGAAAAAATGTGTTATGTGACAAATATGGATTTTTGAAGTAGATATCTATATATATTGGTCCTTACAATAAAGACATGTCCTTATACAGTGTGAAAGACACTCTTAGAGTACCAGTTTGAGCATTTATCTTGAACACTTTCAGAGCTCTGGTCTAGAAAATGCCCATGCATGGTGCACTTACATTGCCCAAATGCATTTTGCAGGGATAAGAAAAAATAATGTAACATCATTTAGTTACGACATCACAATACCATTGTATCACATGTGTCTTTACATGTGATCTGTAATGTCTAAAACATGGGTACACTACAAGATAGAACTGTTCAGCAACCCCCCAAAGGGTATGTGATAAATCTGATACATGTAGAAGTATGTGGAGTTGTTTGTCAGACACGCGTTCGAGATCTTCATGTTTTACTTGGTACATGGTCTGTAAGTCCTCCTCGTACACATAGGGTGTGGCTCAGTTCTAGCCTGGATACAATGTTTATCACTAAAACAACCCTGTGTCAATACAGACAGGAATACAAACTTAGATGTAGACACTCAAGATTCATTGATCAAAACCAAACTAAGCTTATTTACCTACAGTTATATACCACAGTAAATGTACTAATCAAATGGAATTCAATGCTCAGCACTTATAACTATGCATTCAACAGTTCTTAAACCGAGAAAAAATCATTTGATGAATTTAAATGATTTCACAAAGTATAGTTGGCACACTCTTTACATTTTTGGTGTACATAAGCAATAATGAATTATTGTCACCTTTTGTTGGAGGGTAACTCCATCTCTCTTCCGTGACTAGAGACAAAAAATATGTAACACATGTTCATCCAGACAACATTTCAGTAATTAATCTGTTTCTTTTGATATCATGACATTTTGTGAGTTTTCATCCTTGCCAACAAGAGTATGTGAAAGAATTTGACAATACTCTTTTATACCTGAAGAAAAATAAAGTTAACTTTCCTTAAATAAAAAGTGGTGAATTCTTCTCTTACAATGATAATACTAGTTTCTGGGCTAAACAGCATGACAATAATGTAATAAAATTTAAATGTAGCAGCGTTAATTATGGTGTCACTAAAATCTTTATGATATGTCTGTCAAAGAATTACACCAACACAGCTACTCCTACCACGACAAGCATCATTAAATATTCACTTTAGGTTTTGACAAGGTTTAGAATTGGGACAACCTGTTGTCCTCCTTTGTGTCACTCACCAGACAGTCCAGGCATTGTTCCCACTGATAGTAAAGGAACTCTCAAATTGCACATATGACGTAGGAAGGTTTCGTATGACAATAGAGACATATTATACCTATTATATATTGAGCAGTATTTTACCATAGTGTGCAGGTTGTCAATGGGAGATAATACAACTCAGACATCAGGAGATTGTATTGGTGGATCTAGAATCACAGAAAGGACAAAGGAGTCAAAGGTCAACAAGGCTATGTGTAACCCTGGTAAAATACTAGCCGCAAAATACTGCTTGGCTTGAGAGAATTTCTCTTTAGCTCGATCGGGTTGAGCACCACACTAGCAAGCCAGGGGTCCTAGGTTCAATTCCTTATGGAGGCATTGAAATTAATAATGGCCTCTGTTACATATGTATAGAAACAAAAGGGGGCATAGGGGTCATGGGTCATTATATGTATGTACCACAAGGGCATGAAAGGTCAGAGGTCATCAAGTTTCTGTATAGAAAGAACAAAAGAAATAGTAGGTGTAAGAGCTCAGTAGGCATCAGGGTAAACAGGATTATATATTTTGAGGATCAGAGGATAAAAGAGGGGTCAGGGGTAAGTAGGGTTATATATTGGGAGAATGTGTGAACCTGAATCAGCAGGACTAAGCATAATGAAAGAATCAATGTATTCATGAATTTGGAGAATCACTGGAGGTTGAAAGTGTTGGAGGTTTTCTCAGTATGTTTTTGAAGAACTGCAACTTAGATTTAGTTCAGACAAGGAAACCTCAAGTGGATGCATGTACAGATCAAAGGTCAGAAGCATTATGTTTGTGGAATATCAAAAGATGGAAGATGGCATCCAAATCAAATCAATGTGAATGACTGTATGAGGTGCTTGGTATCATTCTGAATCACAGAAGTAGCAGAACAGCAAAAGAAGTTTGATTCATAAACATCCTAAATAGATCAAAGTATATGAAAGCAAAAGGCTTGACTTTATTTGGTTAGAATTATGATGTAAACATGTACATACCAGACAAAGGTGTAAGGGTCAGTGGTTATTGTTTCAAGTAAGGGTCAAAGGTCATTAATTGAGATACAGCCAGAGATTCGTTTTTGAGCCAAGGGTCAAAGGTTAGTATTTTAGGTCAGGATTTGTGGTTTACTAGGGAATGCTTTATTTTTGTTAAGGAATTATAGGAACTATTTTCAGGAAATTTCAGAAAAGCTTGCTTACAAAATTTTAAATATTCATCAGTAATTTTTAGTGTGTAATTCAAAATAAGTGCATGGCAATCATTTGTAATAATACAGGGTCATGATAACAGAACTTTTAACTTTTATAATTAAGCTTATTAGTAATATTGCCACATTTAAGTCAACATGTCAAAATTGTGTCTTTGATGTATACAATAGTTGTATATGTAACAACAATGTTATTTGCTATTGAATGAGTTCTGTGTATTTAGTTGTAGTGAACATGTATACCACTTTAGTTAAAATACTGACCTGACAGCTTACAGCTGGAAGACTGACCACTGGCTAAGTAAATATTGAAGGGAGGGGGTTCTGGCCTGTATACATGTGTACACACTACAGCACCATATCTAGGTCAGATCTGTTTACACACTTTATACCCTCAATGTTCTCTATTGTAATTTTACTCACAAGCTAGTGACTAGTGTGTATAGTGATATTTGGGCGGGGCAGTACTGGCCATACATTGATGGTAGTAGCGGTGTGACTATCTAACTATCATACACGGTTTAGAGTGATTTGAGAGTTGTGGATAGGGTTTGGGTGCACTTGAAGGAAGACTGTGATACAGGCGGACACAGGTAAGGTAGGTAAAAATTGTTTACTATTTACTGATGCCATGACGACTGTCTGAGGACCCGCCCAGTACGTATCCCCACAATCCACACTGGCTCAACTGCCGTAGGTACCGCCCAGTACGTATCCTCACAACCAACACTAGTCTGTCTACCATTCTGTCAATAATCCACCACTGATGCTTGAATCTACTATTATTAAAGTTGAATCAAGGCTAGCTACCATCCACTTTCAAGTATTACAGCTAGGAGTCAGGTACTCCTAGAGCATCTTATTACACTTACAACATTCACCCAGCCTAAGGAATCACACTCCAGGATCTGTGCGACACTGGACATACACACATACCGTCCAACAGTGAATGCTGCTGATGTGATATTTATATGTGTGATGTGAGTGTCTGTAAACAGGTAAGCCATCCACAGGTAATCTAACAAACAGCAATGACTAATTAACGCTGTATATACATGCATTTCAAAGTGACAAACAAGAACAACTGGGTGCTATATTGAAATCAATATTTACAGAAAATTAACAGACCTTGCTACACTTGAATAACTCATTATTTCCTTATCACTTTTCGTTTTTCAATATTTTACATATATGAAATATAACAAGAGGTTGCTTCAGTATCAAACATCTGTATGACAATAATTAACTGTTGCATTCACTGAATCAGACTTAAGAAATGTTTTTCTCACAAATATGAAAATCTTACATAAAAGCCACATGGGTAACTAAATCACTCATTCGTGAGAGGTAGGTAAAAGTTTGCATCCATAACATACAGTAGAACAAACAAAACTGTATTATTGATACAAGCTTTATCTGTTAGAGTTAGAGTAAGGATGATGTAAAATTTCCTGTACAGTGAAACAGATGGATAGCAAGGTGGATAGGCTCATTATTGATACTGAATGTTTGGTATTTCAATAATGTTGAATTTGACATCACAATCATAAAGATGTATGACTTGTGAATAAAATACCTGATAAATATGCTCTATTACAAATAACATGTTATCCAGGGTGTTGGTAAAATAACAGACTTAAACCGCATATCACTCTGATTACAGACGACTGGTAATTATCGAAGATATATCCATATGTAATTACCTCGGAGAATGAAATATGGTTTCTTGTACAAAACACTGGAGTATTTGATTCAAATATCCAGTATTTCAGAAAGATGCAAACAGCTGGTCACCCCTACCAACTTGGTTACTGGTTCTCTTTATCAACACAATGACTAAACACCATCATCTACAGATGAATCATAATTACTTATATGATAGAAACATCTGTGACATCATTGTAGAATTTTTGACAACAGATGGAGAGGTTAAAGACTGAGCTGTTTCATTGTTCCCTAGAGACTGAGCTGTTTTACAGTTCCCTAGAGACTGAGCTGTTTCACAGTTCCCTAGAGACTGAGCTGTTTCACAGTTCCCTAGAGACTTAGCTGTTTCACAGTTCCCTAGAGACTTAGCTGTTTCACAGTTCCCTAGAGACTGAGCTGTTTCACAGTTCCCTAGAGACTGAGCTGTTTCACAGTTCCCTAGAGACTGAGCTGTTTCACAGTTCCCTAGAGACTTAGCTGTTTCACAGTTCCCTAGAGATTGAGCTGTTTCAGTGTCCCCTAGAGACTGAGCTGTTTCAATGTCCCCTAAAGACTGAGCTGTTTCAATGTCCCCTAGAGACTGAGCTGTTTCACAGTTCCCTAGAGACTGAGCTGTTTCACAGTTTCCTAGAGACTGAGCTGTTTCACAGTTCCCTAGAGACTGAGCTGTTTCAGTGTCCCCTAGAGACTTAGCTGTTTCACAGTTTCCTAGAGACTGAGCTGTTACACAGTTCCCTAGAGACTGAGCTGTTTCACAGTTCCCTAGAGACTTAGCTGTTTCACAGTTCCCTAGAGACTGAGCTGTTTCACAGTTCCCTAGAGACTGAGCTGTTTCACAGTTCCCTAGAGACTGAGCTGTTTCAGTTCCCTAGAGACTTCTGTTTCACAGTTCCCTAGAGACTGAGCTGTTTCACAGTTCCCTAGAGACTGAGCTGTTTCACAGTTCCCTAGAGACTGAGCTGTTTCACAGTTCCCTAGAGACTGAGCTGTTTTACAGTTCCCTAGGGACTTAGCTGTTTCACAGTTCCCTAGACTGAGCTGTTTCAGACTGTGTTTCCCCTAGAGACTGTTTCAGCTGTTTCACACAGTTTCCTAGAGAGCTGTTTCACAGTTCCCTAGAGCTGTGTTTCACACAGTTCCCTAGAGACTGAGCTGTTTCACAGTTCCCTAGAGACTTAGCTGTTCCACAGTTTCCTAGAGACTGAGCTGTTTCACAGTTCCCTAGAGACTGAGCTGTTTCACAGTTCCCTAGAGACTGAACTGTTTCACAGTTCCCTAGAGACTTAGCTGTTTCACAGTTTCCTAGAGACTTAGCTGTTTCACAGTTTCCTAGAGACTGAACTGTTTCACAGTTCCCTAGAGACTGAGCTGTTTCACAGTTCCCTAGAGACTGAGCTGTTTCACAGTTCCCTAGAGACCTGTTTCAGAGACTGAGCTGTTTCACAGTTCCCTAGAGACTGAGCTGTTTCAGTGTCCCCTAGAGACTGAGCTGTTTCACAGTTCCCTAGAGACTGAGCTGTTTCACAGTTCCCTAGAGACTGAGCTGTTTCAGTGTCCCCTAGAGACTTAGCTGTTTCACAGTTCCCTAGAGACTGAGCTGTTTCACAGTTCCCTAGAGACTTAGCTGTTTCACAGTTCCCTAGAGACTGAGCTGTTTCACAGTTCCCTAGAGACTGAGCTGTTTCACAGTTCCCTAGAGACTGAGCTGTTTCAGTTCCCTAGAGACTGAGCTGTTTCACAGTTCCCTAGAGATTGAGCTGTTTCACAGTTCCCTAGAGACTGAGCTGTTTCACAGTTCCCTAGAGACTGAGCTGTTTCACAGTTTCCTAGAGACTTAGCTGTTTCACAGTTCCCTAGAGACTGAGCTGTTTCACAGTTCCCTAGAGACTTAGCTGTTTCACAGTTCCCTAGTGACTGAGCTGTTTTACAGTTCCCTTGAGACTTAGCTGTTTCACAGTTTCCTAGAGACTGAGCTGTTTCACAGTTCCCTAGAGACTTGGCTGTTTCACAGTTCCCTAGAGACTTAGCTGTTTTACAGTTCCCTAGATACTGAGCTGTTTCACAGTTCCCTAGAGACTTAGCTGTTTCACAGTTCCCTAGAGACTTAGCTGTTTCACAGTTCCCTAGAGACTGAGCTGTTTCACAGTTCCCTAGAGACTTAGCTGTTTCACAGTTCCCTAGAGACTGAGCTGTTTTACAGTTCCCATGAGACTTAGCTGTTTCACAGTTTCCAAGAGACTGAGCTGTTTCACAGTTCCCTAGAGACTGAGCTGTTTCAGTTCCCTAGAGACTGAGCTGTTTCACAGTTCCCTAGAGACTTAGCTGTTTCACAGTTCCCTAGAGACTGAGCTGTTTCAGTGTTCCCTAGAGACTGAGCTGTTTCACAGTTCCCTAGAGACTGAGCTGTTTCAGTTTCCCCTAGAGACTGAGCTGAAGCACTGCTCCTTTGAGAATAAACTGAAGCATTGCTCCTTTGAGACTGTGAGATTAGATTCCATATATACTACTTAGATATACTATCATCTTACTCCAAACTTACATAATTCCCGTTTGTAAAAATTGATTTGACTCTAAATTCATATCTTCCCGATTTCTGAAATGATCTATAAAGATAATGATCTCAAAATGTAATCATTTTAACAAGCTTGTTTGATTAAATGTAATTTTCTTTGCACTTAAGGTCAGATATATAATACATGTACATCATTGTAGATCAAAATTCCCTGGGTAAGGTCCTGAACATATAATTCCTCTACATGTGTCCATTTCAATAGTCAGTCATTAAAACCAAATTCTGCTACTTTTGTATTTTTGTTAATTAATTTTTTTGTAAAAGAGTTTTTCTCTGTGTGAATTAGTTTGAATTTTTAACAATTATGGTTTGTCTTCTTTTATACAAAATCTTAAACATTTTACATATCAGTCAATTAAGCTAGTATATGCTATGGTCCTAATAATTCTATTGTGACAGAAGTGCAATAGGTAAGGTCACCTGAATAAAAGAGTGGGAGTAAGCTATTGGTGATGACAGGAAACTTAGTAACTGACAGTATTATCAGGCTTATCAGTAATTGAGAGATAACACCAGAGACATAACTCCATGTATCTCCTCCCTACATGTGTCCTCCTTGTATCTGTCAGAGAACTTTATTACACATCAAAAGTACACTTATGTTACTAAGCCCTGATAATACTCTTCACACAAGTATGACCCACAGCATTTCTAACAGTAATAATTGTGTAACTTTTGAGAAAATTCAGTCACAAATCTCTTAAAACTGGCAAAAAGACAAAAAAAGTAAAACAAATTATGCACAGTAAGTTGATATTCAACAGAATTACTTTATCTGGCCAGTGTACAATGCAGAGGCAACATTTGGCATCATTTCTGTACCTCCAGTGAGGACCTATCCTTTATATCATTACACTGTGTTAAGTGTCCAATTCTTTGTATTAGGCTACAGAGCAACAGGACACGGATTTCTTACCAGTCCTGTATGTCACTCCTGAGTAATGAAGAAACATACTTTGATGATTCTTCCTATAGAGAAACAATCAACTTAATTGTATGTAAGAGGTCTATTTCAAGATAATTTACCTCATGATTAATTTGTGAACTTAAATCTTTAGGGAAAATGAACGGCAAAGAAAATCACCATTGTTATTGAAACAAATATTCTCTAAATCTGAAATTCCATGTAAGTTATGAAACCATTCAGTTTACAAAATTAAGTGCCCAAACACAAAACGTTTTTTACAGAATATAGGGTAGTACATCTACTGTATAATTCATTATAGATCTACTGATTAGTATCATGAAAATCAATCACATTTCATATTCTGAATGCCAGTCTTACGTTTCTGAACCAGGTTCAATTTCAATTGC